ACATTACACTTTTCTAGGGTTTTTTTGAGACAGAGTCTCACTTTTTTGCCCCAGGCTAGAGTGCTGGTGTAATAGTTCACAACAACCTCAAACTCTTGGGATCATATCTAATTTTTCTATTTTAAGTAGAGACAGGGTCTTGCTCTTGCTCAGGCTGGTCTCGAACTCCTGAGCTCAGGCAATCCACCTGCCTCAGCCTCCCAGAGTGCTAGGATTACAGGCATGAACCAGCAGGCTGGGCCCTACATTACGTTTTATTTTAATCTGTGCTCTGGTGTCCTAGCTCACAGCAACCTCAAACTCCTGGGCTTAAGTGATCCTCTTGCCTCAGCCTCCAGAGTAGTAAGGACTATAGGCACCTGCTGCTACCCTACATTACATTTTAAAATATCATTGTCAACTGGGCATGGTGGCTCACGCCTATAATCCTAGCACTCTGGGAGGGCAACACGGGTGAACTGCTTGAGCTCACAAGTTCAAGACCTCAAAATCGAGATCCCATCTCTACTAAAAATAGAAAAAACTGAGGCAAGAGGATCGTTTGAACCCAAGTTGGAGGTTGCTGTGAGCTATGACCCCACAGCACTCCACCCAGGGTGACGGCTTGAAACTCTGTCTCAAAAACAAAAGACAAAAATAAGTCATTGTCAGCACCTCAGCCTGAGCCTGTCCACTCGGGAAAAACTGAGGAAACTAAGCTAAATTACTATTATGTCTAAGCAAATGTTACTTAGAAGCTGGCACTGTGGATTAAAAAACAAAAGGAAGGGAGAGAGGAAGGGAAAGAAAGAGAAAGAAAGAAAGGATGAACAACTATTACAACCACTAACTCCTCACTCTCAAGATCCAAGGACTAACCTGATTCCAAGTAGCAAAGTTGACTTTATCAGCAGCATTAAATGCCATTATGTTATATTTTTTATTCGTGTTCCTGGAGTGGGCAAGAAGAGGAAGTGTTAATCCAACCAACCATTCAATCAACAAACCCATAGTGCCTCAGCCCTTTGTGGTAGGCAATGCTAAGGTCTCCAAGGACTCCCAGTCTGTCAGGAAAGCTGGGACTCATCACCCATGCAAAGAGAAGGAGGGGAAAAGAGCAGAAGGTGGGGCAAAGATTTGGGGAAACTCAAATGTGGGGATAATTGAGAACTAGGCTTTGGGGAGGGAAGAAGGAAAACAAGCTGGGAGTACTTCCTGAAGGAGGAAAATATTGCAAGCGGGTTTTGCAGGATCAACAAGAATCCACAACAGAGTCAAAGTTTAGGGATTGGAGGAGAGGAAGGCACTCCTGACAGAGCAACAGCATGAACAAAGGCCTAGAAAGAAAAAAAAAAAACCTGACCAGCTGAAAAGAGAACGAAGAGTATGTTCTCATGGCTAGCGTCTGGGCAGCAAAGGACCACATAAGTCTTGAATACTAGGCCAGGTAGCTGACTCGTGCTGTGTATTAATGCACTCGCTCATTCATTCAAGAAACAGTGTTACCCCCAAATCTTAGCCCTGCCCTCCAAGTCTCTCCCAATCTGGAGGAAGAATCATAGGCAGGGCCAGAGACGCCTCGTGAAGGTATTAATTCCTTTTGGTGGGGGTGGGCGGTGGGGCCGAGGACTTACTTGGGAACACGAACGACGTACTCAGTGACATTCTGGCCCATGGGGCCCTGCGGAAAGAGAAGGCAGATCGTGAGTGAGGGGCTGCGGGGGTCGCCGCCCGCCATAACCCGCGAACCCCGCCTCATTCATACTCACTAGGGTCGCCATGGGCAATGGTCAGTTCGGGTCCGGTCCGACCGGGTTCTTTTTTTCTCTCCCGAAGTTCACGCCCCTCAGTCCGTGGAAGCAGCCTTCTCGGTGTCGGGTCTATGGCCTTGAACGAGGACTCCAAACCCTAGACAGCTACCCGGAAGCAGCACTCGGCCAGATCCGTCTGCTCCTAACCTGGAAATAAAATTTTCCCCTAGCCGCGTCTCGATGGCAACCGCCTCGGAGGCTGGGGCCACCTCAATACGCTGTCACCTGCGCCCTCCTGCCTTTTTCTGGAGAAGGAAACAAAAGATGAATCTGAGACTCGAGAATTGACTTCTGCCGCTGACGCTTTTATATAGCAAGTTAACTTACTCACCACCTACGAGGACACGCCTTTCTGACGTCAGCCCGCAAATTCCCGCGGAGCATCCTGGGTAGGGACGTAGACTCAGTTCCCTACTTACAGCTTTTTAGGAGCTTTGCGCGTGCGCCACCGCTCCCCGGAAGTGGCTCGGGAGGCCGCTTCACCATAGCAGTCTCTCGGCTCCTCAAAGACTGTTTCGGATTATTCTTCTCCAGCTGCTCCAGGGATGGGAGGAGACCCTATCACCTCGCAAAATGATCGGGACGGGGTCTCTTATGACGTTGAGCCGAGCCAGGAGGAGTCAGCTTGGGTGGGAATGGGGCGCGACCACCGCAAGAGGCTGCTGGCAGGATGGGTCTGTGCAAGTCCAAGCTGGCTCAGACGAGCAGGCCTCTGAGGCCTCGGGAGAAGGGTAACATCGCGGGGGTGACTGGCTTGCTGGGGAAAGGGAAGGAGGATGTAGAGGACAGGAAGGGGGTGCAGGTATCTCCCCCCAATTCCATATGTGCGCACGACTCCTCCTCATGGCAGTGACACAACTGCGCGTACTCAGCCCTACCTTGATCCTCTTCCGGACCTGCTGAGTTCCGGGCCCCAGGACGGAGGGAATCTGTCAACCCGCTCCCCGCCCTCTTGTAGGTTACAGGGCAGTGGAGGAGACCCAGAAGGGAACAGAAGCAGCATAGTTAGCTCTGAGGGCTCAGAGAAGAGGAGAGGTTTCAGCTGAGCCCTGAGGGATGCATAGGAGTTGGCTAAGCTCAGGAGGAGGGAAACAAGAGGCGAGTATTGGACCATAAACTGCAGACGCCGTAAATGTGTCTTGGTAGCCTTGGATATTCCTTTATTCCTCATCCACTACTAGATGGCAAGAACTGTGCCATCTACTGGGAATACAGCGATGATCATCCTTGCCTTTGTGGCGTACAGAATCTGGCTGGGCTGGGGGGAGACAACAACAAGTAAACAGAAGTCATGACTGACTGTGGCCAATGCTGTGGAGGAAATGGGGTTCTGAGACAGAGTGTATTAGAGGTGAGAAGGGTTATTAAGACTTGTTACAGAAGGCCTGGTGGCTGCCCCTATTTATCCGTAGAAGGAACTATCTATGCAAATAAATGACTGAGGCCAAAAATATCAATAAATGGGGATTTATTAAGACAAGAGTTTGAGGATGCACTTGTGCAAAACATGGAGCACAACTGTGCCTGTTTTTCCAAAGGGAGGGGGGTTGAAACCTTCACGTTTTAAAGGCAACGAAGGATAAAGGTGAAGGGTGGGGTGTGCTTATGAGGCAGTGGATACGTTCTTGTGAGGCCCAAGAAACCTACATTTTACATAAAATAAGGGAGGGAGGGAAGCATCAATTATGTAGATATTCCTGGGTAGGTACAAGAATGTCTGATTCAGTGTTATCTGCAGTCTGTTACCTGTAAGATAAACTTGTAATTCATTGTTAGTGTGGAATCCAATGGGATTTAGTTTTAGGTGCTACAGATAGGTACAATTTGTATGTCCTTGCTTATGGGAAGTTAGCAAGAGATTAGCAGATTTTTTTTTTTT